TATACTACTTCTCTCTCTCTCTCTCTCTCTCTCTCTCTATATATATATATATATATATATATATGAGGCCAAGCACAAGTTTCTCTCTCTTGTTACATGGGCCAGCTTCTCTCGCTTTCTCTCTCTCTCTAGGGACCAAGTTTGCATTTCTCTTTCTTGACATGGATCAAGCTCCAGCCTCTATCGATCTCTCCACATAAACCAAGTTCGAGTCTCTTTCTCTCTGATACTTAAAATAAAGAATGCACTCTCTAATGCTTCATGATAGCTCACATTGGAAGTATGCACCATAGCATGGACGAATCTCGACTCTCTCTCTCTTGTGACATGGACCAATCTCGAGTCTCTCTCTCTCTTGTGACATGGACCAAGATCAAGTCTCTCTCTCTCTCTCTCAACATGGAAGGGCTCGAGTGTCTTTCGCACTCATGACATGGACCAAGCTCAAGTTTCTCTCTCTTTTGTGATATGGACCAGCTCAAGTCTCTCTCACACTCATCATACTTATCAAGATAAGGGAGGGCTTACTTAGGGAAATAAAGACTAGACTACCTTACCTCTCTCTCTTGATATACTAAAATAAGCCCTACTCTCTCTCTCTCTCTAAGAAATTAAAACTAGACTACCGGGGTAGAAAGAGAAAGAAGAGGGACGTTTTTTTCTTCTTCTTTTTTTTTGAAAAATAAGAAGAGGGGGGCTTACTTAGAGACAATGAAGTACTTCATCGGGATCATCATCCCTAGAATATATATGTTAGAGATTGAGACCCCGAATATTAGGAATCAAAATCCCAACCTTTTGGAGATCTCAATCCCTACCTAATGGGATCTTGATCCCAACCTATTGGGGACCTCGCTCCCAAACTTAAAGAGCATTTATGGTCTAGTTTAAGACTATATATACTCTTTAAAGTAAGGATTGCTTTATGTATAGCGAGCAAGTAATGTAATTATATTAAACGTATAGTTGCATTGCTAGCTGGTTATATAAAAGAAAGTCATTAGTTTGGTCTTTATCTTAGTCTTTAAGGTGGGGGTTGGGATCCCTAACTGTCGGGTTCGAGATCTAAAAATTTTAAAATCAACATCCCTTGAAAATACCTTTTCCAGAGCCCCAAAGCGAGATTTTGGAGTGCGATTGCCACCAAGGATAGAAGATCTTGAGAGCGAGAGAGGAGGAGCATCTTGGTGTTCAACAAAGT